CCCCAAAACCCCAAAACCCCAAAACCCCAAAACCCCATGCTGCTGAGATCATATTGAAATGACTATATAGAACTCTTTTCAGAAATTGGTGAAGGGGCTTTAGGAGTCTGGAGAGGGATTAAAGAAGTGAGGTTAAGTAAATAGGGGTAAAATCGATCAAGGAGTCTGAAAAAGTTGATTTGAAGGTGGTTTGAACAATCAGAAGGCCTGAAAGGGGTCAGGTGTGACTTCTAGGTGAAATATTAAGACTTTTGGAAGTGTAGTTTTGTGGGATATATGTACACAGGTGAGGGTTATGTATTAGAATTGTAATCAAAGATACAGGGAGCCTCATTTTCAAAGAGGGTCCATCTAGTTTATGTGAGCTTCCGCAAAGGTTTATTCTTTTTGTAAACTTTGATTTTGCCATGTAATAGGAGAAAATTCTTGATAAATGAACTACTCCTTTCTTGTTATTGAAAACTCAAATTAAGTCATTGCAAGTAAGAGGCTAACAATCGCTATAAATTTAAAGCTTTAAGCCTTCTAAAGATGTTTCAAGCACAGAATTTTGGTTCTTCTTGATTCCAAAATATTTGAGCTGTTTTATAATATATCAGCTCATCCTCACCTAATATCGCTGACGTTAAACTAAAGTAGTTGACTTTTTAGTTCCAATGAGTATATAAAGATTTCTATTGGGTCATCTACCACAAGTTAGACAGCCAACTAGCATAATCAAATCGATTTCCTAGTTTGAGTAAAAAGCCAGGAACAAAACTCCATCAAATAAATTAATTTTAGTCACGAAATTATTATAATTTCTTTATTTTTCCTTATTTTTATGGAGTTTATCAAGTTACAATGTAGGACGCCATCTTTAAATTAAGACTACCAGGAAAGTTTGTAAAACTTTTGACTTCATACCAAATGGTTATGAACGAATATAATAAGATTTTTTAACCTTGTTCTCCTTCCATTCTCTTACAACGTCCTTATGACTCTTCCTTTTTGCTTCTTCACTATAAAATTTAAGTCAACAGGAAATACTGTTTTCAGAGCTTCTTAAGCCGACCATCTCTGATAGTTTTGCGAAACTTTCGGGCTTGTATCCTACTGACAAGAGTAGCAGGAGAGAATTCAAACTTCTTCTCTTCAAAGATCTCCAAATGATCTTGGCAAAACACGCTTCACTCGCTAAAATATAATTCAGGAAGAATTTTATGGTCACATACAAGTCATCATCATCTTTGCGGAGCATATCCATGGTCTCCCAGTCTTTGATCAGACCCTTCTGGATCCCTCATCTAACATGGAAATTGAGCTTTCAGGCTCGTTTGTCTCACTATTTTTATATATGAATCGGTCAGAAAACATTCAAGCTATTTATTCATCATATTTGATCGCTTTATAATTCATTGAAGATAAGGATGCTAATTTAATGTTTTTGGGAATTTTACTAACCTGAATCATGATTCCTTCACTCAGCTCTCATATATAACAAAGAGAGCCTGGCTTATGATACAAGTGAAGCATCTCAGGAGAAATATTGGTCGAGTCTCTATTAGGAACATTACAATTAAGAAATACGAAGTTTCAAATTTACTCAGGTTTAAGAAAATTTGTGTTAAAATTTAAGAAAGCTTACTTGAACTTATCTTTAAAGAATATGTGCTGATTCCAGTTTATTCAGCTAACATGAGCCCAACTTTCTGCACTAGCAAAGAAATAGTAATTTATATGACATTTTAGAAAGAATTAAGAAATAATGGGAAAGAGGAAAAATTCACTCACGAGTATTTTTTCATGGCTCCTCCAAACTGTTTACACATAAAACAGGGAGTGCTCTGGCTAAACTCTCCGTGGGTCTCATTCCATGCTCATTCAGTTCCTAATAAAGGAGTTTAGTAATTAGAAGTCTTTACAAAGACAATGAGTGCTATTTAAAGTTGTTTATGGCACAAAGAGCCAATTGGAGCCCTATGAAAATGACCTTGCCTAATGGCAAAATTTGATTAAGTAGACCTTAAGGTATGCAAGCCTTGTTGCATAGCTACTTATTTGGCTACTTAGTACCATGGATACCATGCTCTATTAGGGCAAAACTTGAACATTTTAAAAGAACCTACATTTCCAATTGCAAAGATGTTCTTGTGTGACATCAGATTGTACAAGATCACTGCCATATCAATGCTGATGAACCCAAAGAAGGCACTGGTTGCATTGTATAAGGAGATCCTCATCTTCCTGATTGGAATCGAGGCATATGTCTCACTTTGAGCTTGCCAATGAGCTTTTGAAGGTGTCCATCTTGGATTTAGAGAAAATGTTATTAGTTTCAATAGAAACCGCATGGTCTGGGGTTTTGGGGTTTTGGGGTTTTGGGGTTTTGGGGTTTTGGGGTTTTGGGG